CAAGAACGCATCAAGGACATTTCTGAGGAATCTGCAACAGACTGAGATATTCTGTACAACTGATAATACTCAGTTAATTTTCTCAGGGTCTGCATGCAGCAGAAGTTTCATTTACAGTGGCTTTACACATATTGTCATCATATAATTGAGGGAGTCCTGTAACATGTTAAGAATACCCTGGCCTCATTGTGATTTTCTACACTCGTAAAGGGTTGGGGACCAACCATCGTTGGTTTAGTAAAGTGTAACAGACCAGGTACCAGTAAGGAGAAGACTGACAGGTCCAAAGGAAAGATAAGGTACACGTCAGTGTGTGGACAGAACAGCATCCAATGAATGTCCAAACACTCTCATGGTGCTCATTGCTGGTTTGGAATACTCTGTTGTTGGACAAACTGGGATTGAATTAAAATTGCACTCCTGCCTTTGCATAGAGAAGTAGATTCATTCGCATCACCCAGGCCATAACCTCAATACTTCTTGACTTCAATTATCTTGATGAATAAACACAGAAAGGAAGAGAAGATTGAAATCAAAGAAGACATTCAACGCGTTCATCATTAATTTTAATCCTTCCTTCTTTGGCAGTTTAGGATAAAACTGAACTATTGAACTTTACGTGATTATACATATACTAGTTATAAATTTTTATGTATTTTTGTCAGTTTTGGACCGGTTCGAGTTATGAAGAACTGAAGTTAATAGAGTTACTCATTTGTGTCTTAAATTCAAAAGATTAAAAGCAAAGATGACATTCAATGCGTTAATCATTGATTTCAATCCTTCTTTGGTAGTTCAGGATAAAAAATATATTGATAACTTAACAATGTGCTAATATGTATATGATCAATATTTAAAAATACATAAAACAGTCAAAACCTGGCCATAAGCTCAACACTTTTTGACTTCAATTATCTCAATGAGTGAACACAAAAGTGCAGAAAAGATTAAAAGTAAAGAAGACATTCAATGCGTTTATCACTGATTTCAATCCTTCTTCGGCAGTTCATGATAAAAAATATATTGATAACTTAACAATGCGCTGATATGTATATGATCAATATTCAAAAATACTGTACATAAATCAGTCAAAACCTGGGCACAATGTAATTCCGCGTTATATCAAAAATTGGAGAAATGCACCAAAAATTCAAGAGTTATTCTTTGAAATACAGTATGAAACTTGCTTCAATAGTTGAAAATACTTTTCTCCAACGCCAACCTGAATTTTTCAATATTTCAAATTAAAAAAAAAAACTTTATTAATAGCAAAAGCTCATCAACATAAATACTGTATTGCAAATGCACATAGGTCTTATTTATCAGATAACAAAACCGGACAAAAGGCAAGGATATCCGGAATAATAACTAGGGGATGGTAACAACCATTCGCACACTGAAAAAAAACAAAACAAACAAACATATGAACCACATGCCAGAATAAAACAAAGTACTGTAGGTATAAAAAATAAAACAAAAGAAAATAAGGAGGTGGGGGGTATACCTGGGACTGGACAACATCAAGCCGACAGACGGACGAGGCTCTCGGCATCCCGCCGCTGCCGCCGCCGCCGCCACTCTTGTCTGACGGACACGGGCCGGCGTCCTTTTTGGCGGTGGCGTGCTGCTGGTGGCTCCAGCTGGCGGCGAACCGATGATTGTGTCGGCGTGCCACGCCTGAACCCGGGATCGACGCCGACCGACTCGACTTGAAATTATCCACCTTCGTCCCGACAAGCAGGCACTAAAATAAAAAACTTTTTAAAAAAAAAAGTCCGTCACAGCCGTGTTTTTACCTCTCCTTGGGTTTAAGCTTCTTGGGTCCCTTGTGCCTTTCTTTCCCGCTGTAAATTTTTACGGAGTACGAAAATCAATAAAAACACGACATTTTTTTTTTCTTCTACAAAGCATTCCTAAAATATTCTCGAATTAAACATTTTCATGCTTCTCCATGCATACAGTGGGTCCCCGTATCACGAGACACACGTGCGACGAAAATTTCGCATTCCAAAAATTTTTATAGAGGTGACAAAGTGACTTCACACAACGAAATTGTTTCAAATAAGAAAATGTATGGTCGAAAAACGATAGAATTCCATGACATTTTCGGGAAAAAATTAGAAAAGGATCACTCAGTTGTGGTTCTTCTCGTTTTTAAATTTATCAAAACGTCTTTAAGTTCTGAACGTTGAGCAGTCTAAATGTAGTCAAAGTATGGTTAGTTTAAGTGTTAAAAGCGACTTTTAATGTGCTAAAAAACCAAAGAATACCTCAAAAAGTGCTTAGAGACCTTGTTTTTAAATCTCCTACAATAATCTTAAAGGATGTTTCGTATTAGGAAAATTCTATACGACGGTACGGATTAGTTTCTTCATGCAGAGACTCGCTGTGGAGTTGTTTTTTCAGGCTAAATTATTAACGCAATTATTGCCAAATTATTAACGCAATAAACATTTCCGAGAATTCTGATGTGATATTTTGAAGACTAAAACAGCCAGACCTCCAGAAAAAAGCAAATTACAGTGAGACCCCCACATGCGGAAACCTTGACATGAGGACAATTCAACATGGGTACATTTATTTTTTCAACAAAGAATCATAAAAAAAGCCCAATGTATAGACACTGACTCAAGATGAGGATATTGCATGATAAAATTGCCAATACATTTCACAAAAATTGACTTTTATTTGGCTTACTTGCAAGAAACAGATATTTCCAACCCTAAGATTTATGCAAGAAAAATTAATTTTCATTTCTCCCATCAATTTCCCATTCATTCAGCTAATTTAAAAAAAATTACCCATAGCACAGAGGGACTTCCTTCTCTCTTTGTGACTTGCATGCTATTTTCACAGATGCAAACATTTCAATGTACAGTACAGAGATACACTATGCAATGCTCCAAATGTTCCTATTGAGTTGGAAATATATTCACTAAATCAAATTCAAGTGGCAAAAAATCTTTTCATGGAATTCTGAAGAATACTTCTTCCATAAAACACAGATTAAAAATTATACAGTATAATGTAAGTCTGTGAGAAAATAAGACTTGACATAGGGACACTCTTGATGCACCAATTACATCCGCATCTGGAGGTCTCACTGTATTTTACAACACTTCAGAGGGATCAAGTTCACACTAAAATTCAGAAATTTCATGGCTTTCCAAAATAGACCAAGGCAATTTAACAAACTCAACCCTAATTTTCATTCAGAGAAAAAAATCTTTTGAGAAAAGGTTTGGACCAAAAGCGTAGGCAAACGATGCTTGCAGTACAATACAGTGCAAGAATCAAACTTTCTCATTCACAATACAAAACAATAATGCCAACATGCAACAAAACGTACGGAGAGATTCTGAGAATTAGGATAGAACAATAATATGCTTCCAAGCAAGCTCAAATACAAGCTACAGGTAGACTCACTATTTTCGTCAAAAAATTTTTTTTTTCTTCTCCGCATATCAAATTTATTTCTGATGTCTCAGGGGTTCTCTAGGAGTCTACGCGTTCAATAGGGGTTTCTCTGCAACGAAATTCTCTTCACAACGAATTTTTTTCTAGTCCCCCCTGAATTTTGTTGCAGAAATAATCCACATACAGTGGCTAAATTAAAGGAACGCAGGGTCACTTCCAATTCTGATCACACCTTCCAACAGCACTAATCACGAAAATCTCTCAAGATGATCAGGAATTTACAATAAAAAAATAAACTGCGAAATTCTGTGCAGTTTCAAATTAAAGACAGTCGAACCTCTTCAAGTCGAATTTCAAAGAACCAGCAATAGTTCGAGTTAGAAAAACAATAATTTTTTCTGTGGGTAAGATAGTAAAAATTGAAAACGTTTTGTGAATGGTGATATTCTGGGCCTTGAATTGCTTCTTGAATGAGTTGACAGGAAGCTGAACTTCAAAGCAAGGATTCATTTGACCAATTAGTCTTTCACTACCTTTCAAAACACATGAAGTTAATTTTTCTTTCCTTTTCTCTTTTGCCTGGGTCAAGAAAAAAAAGATTGCCAAAAGGCCTCAGAAAATTCAAGTTACAGAGATTTGAGAGGGAAAGCCTTTGAGTTAGAAAGGTTCAAAATACATTGCTTCTGAAACAATTCAGACAGGGACTCGAAAATAATTTGACTTAGGGAGGTTGGAGTTATTGAGGTTCAACTGAATCTTGATACAGTACAGCATAAAAAAGCATTTGTTTCAAAGGGGATAGAGACAAATCAAGACAGAAAATTTGAGACTGAGCAAATAGAGACAGAAAATTTGAGATAGGGCCAATTTGAGACAGGGACAAATTGAGACAAGAACCATCTTGATGAGGAGAGGAATCCGCTTAGATTCGTTCAAAGATTTGAGTTTTTCCTTGATGAGGAAAATTCACTTGCGAATGATGAGTGAAAAAAAAAAAAAGAGAAACACCCTGGGATCATGGACTTTTCACCAAACATCACAATTTTTGTTAATTTTCTTACCTTAAAGGTAAGATAATAGGGAGAAACACAGTCAAGTCATTTTGTGTCAAAATGTATCCCTCTCAAATTCTCAAAATATATTTGTCTCAATTTGTCCATGTCTCAAAAAGTTACTGTCCCAAATTGTCCCTGTCTCCATAAGTACCTGTCTCAATTTGGCCCAGTCTCAAATTGGCACTGACTGAAATTGGCCCTGTTTCAATTTGTCCTGGATATCCTGCCCAATAACAATGACTTTATTCAAATCTCTTTATAACGAATTTTTTGTTACAACAAAGCTCCTCCCCCTCAACAACTTTGCTGTAACGAGATTTTACAGCATCAATAAAATATTCCCAATAGAGAGAACAAAACGAGCTCCGTATCAAAGAAATAGAATGCAATGAATCAATTTTTTTTTTTTTTGCAAACAAGTGCAAAACAAAAATAAATATCTGCCCATGGCGTCGCATGAGAAAATACTAACCTGCTTGACGGTATCCACTGAGCAGGTGTGGGACGCCGAGTGGCGCTCAAAGACACCGCCACCGGCGCCATCGTCTCCGTTCATGCCAGCTGCTCTCTTGTTGGCCGTCACCAGGTAAATTTGTTCTTCCACAGGATGCCTCAACCTGCACCGACTCCTCACTTCTTCACTCACAGGCAACAATGCCGCCAAATATGCAACTGATTCCTCGGTAACCTGCGAAAAGGACCTCGTGGGTTAATTTTCCATCATCATCATTATTATTTTTTTTTTGGAAATAAAAAAAAAATCAAAAGGAGTTCTTGAAGTTTAATGAGACAAATGAAACTGTTTTTGATCAACTGGCAAGAGTTGCATCTGGTAAATGATCTTGGTTCCTCAAAAGCCTTTTGTCTTCCTTCACTTCTGGAACCAATTTCCAAGAATGTTCCCTGACAGGTATCACTTAAGTTGAGATGAATAAGGCCAAGTTCCAAAATGGAAACTTTCTCAACTCTGTTCACAATATTTACAGCCTTCATTATGCTAAAGTGCATCACAATCATAAATCTTGTGCAGAAGCAGCCTTGGTGTAGAGTCAGCAGATATTCCGATAAAATACTGCAGCAGTCCCTAAACTACATGCAAAATATTTCTGATGTTCCCGGTATGCAAATAAATTCTAGGTAAATTTCTTCTGCTGTTGCTTTCACACACAACATTTTATCAGATCTTTCTCTAGAGTGTTCAAGGCTTGGACTGTAACACTGTCCAATGCCAAGTAAAAATCTCCAGTCTTGAGTTAACATTTTACCCAAAGTTTTTATTCATGTAGCACACAGACTTGCTGCCTTGCTTCTTGAATCTTGTTCTGCTCTCCATTCTTTCAAACACCCTGATTTAATTTACTGTATTTACTCAAGTAACACGCGCACCTCTTTTCCTGAATTTCAGAAGAAAAAAGGGGTGCGTGTCATAAGCGGGTACAAATTTTCAAGAAGCTTTAGGAAGTTATGTGTGCATTATACTCAATTATAATGGAGAAATTCGGAACAAATATAACAAGAAAACATTTTTGTACTGAAAAAGTTGAAAATTGATCATATTTTTGTTTTTGTCAAATTTTTCGTTTTTTTTTGTTATGTGTGCATTATACTCAATTATAATGGAGAAATTCGGAACAAATATAACAAGAAAACATTTTTGTACTGAAAAAGTTGAAAATTGATCATATTTTTGTTTTTGTCAAATTTTTCGTTTTTTTTCAAATTTTATGGTTTTAGATTTACTAAAAATTGGAGTGCGCGTCTCACCCAGGGATAAGATTTTTGCAAAATTTTCAACTGAAAAACCCCCGTGCATGCCTTACTCAAGGGCACGTGGTACTCGAGTAAATATGGTATACATTTCAATTTCTAAACTTCAATTTTCTTTTCAGGATTACAAGTACATTTTTCAAAAATACCCTTGTAACAAATACTGTAGATGCAACTGGAATTCCATTCATATGTCATTTTCGCGAACCAGACAAAAAAAAAAAAAGAGTTCACCTCAAATTTATCTCTCTGATGAGGCCTGGCCACAATGGCCAGCAGCATGGTGAGCACCCTGGCAGTTCTGCCAACAGTGCAGTGATTCGGATGCCTGAAACCCTTGAGCAAGTGCCCAACAAGGGCGAAGTGGAAATTGGCCTTGAAACTCATCCCCATGGCATGGTCAAGTTGCTTGAAGTACCACTCCAATGGCTCTCGCGTCTGCATCATCAACGTCTCCAGCGGCTTTAAATTTTTTTTCATAAACTCATCAGTAAAAGACTCAGTTGACAGGATGCTGAACTTAGAGGAAAGGGTTGTTTTGTACAATTCGTCTTTCAATTCCTTTTAAAACACATCAAATTTCATTTTTATTGATTTCTCTCTTTCCTCTGTCAATAAAATTTTAGCCAAAAGACCTCCAGAAAATTCGACTTATGGAGGTTTTTCGTGCATTTTTTCGGAAGGGATTCAGAGAGGGACATTGAAAACAAATTCAAACGAAGAAAGGTTCCAGTTATCAAGGTTAGACTGTACTCTTCAACTATGATATATTTTTTCTTTCTTCAAAATTTAAATCAAATGTTGAATGAAAATCACCACTCGGTAAAAGGCTCCCAGCGTGTCCAGCGTGTGGATGTTATGTGTGCATTATACTCAATTATAATGGAGAAATTCGGAACAAATATAACAAGAAAACATTTTTGTACTGAAAAAGTTGAAAATTGATCATATTTTTGTTTTTGTCAAATTTTTCGTTTTTTTTTTTAAATTTTATGGTTTTAGATTTACTAAAAATTGGAGTGCGCGTCTCACCCAGGGATAAGATTTTTGAAAAATTTTCAACTGAAAAACCCCCGTGCATGCCTTACTCAAGGGCACGTGGTACTCGAGTAAATATGGTATACATTTCAATTTCTAAACTTCAATTTTCTTTTCAGGGTTACAAGTACATTTTTCAAAAATACCCTTGTTACAAATACTGTAGATGCAACTGGAATCCCAGTCATTTGTCATTTTCGCAAACCAGACAAAAAAAAAAAAAGAGTTCACCTCAAATTTATCTCTCTGATGAGGCCTGGCCACAATGGCCAGCAGCATGGTGAGCACCCTGGCAGTTCTGCCAACAGTGCAGTGATTTGGATGCCTGAAACCCTTGAGCAAGTGCCCAACAAGGGCGAAGTGGAAATTGGCCTTGAAACTCATCCCCATGGCATGGTCAAGTTGCTTGAAGTACCACTCCAACGGCTCTCGCGTCTGCATCATCAACGTCTCCAGCGGCTTTAAAATTTGTTTTCATAAACTCATCAGTAAAAGTTTCTTCACTCATGCCAGGAAGAAAATAAACATGGACCTTGATTAAATTTAAAGCAAATACCAGAACTCACTTAGAACATTTAAAACATTCTTCCTCCTATACAAATAAATCAATACTGTACGTCAAAAAATGTTTAAAAAAAATATATTGCAAGGGTCATCATGAATCATGAAGAAAGATCACACAAGAAAATTACTCGCCCACAACTTTTATTTTTTTCATTCCGGCGTGACGAAATTTCAATCAGGGATTTCATCCAAATCTGGCATAAATTACTGTATAATCAAGGTGCCAGAATGTCATTACCGTATTTACTTGAGTAACACACGCTCATTTTTCATTAAAATTACGGGGTATAACATTTTTGAAATTTTTGTAATTTCATGTTTTCATCAAACTTGATTCTGCGAAAAACTATCCTAGGGAACTCAAGTGAAAAGTACAGTCGAACCCTCTTTAAATCGACCTTCAAGTGAACAAAAAAATCGAGCTAGATAAACAAGCAATTAATTTAGGTGGAAAGCAGAAAGAATTAAAGGAGATAGTAATTTCGTAAATGATCATCTTCTGAGCCACGAATTGCTTTCCGACTCCGTTGACAGGATGCTGAACTTAGCAGAAAGGGTTGTTTTGTACAATTCGTCTTTCAATTCCTTTTAAAACACATCAAATTTCATTTTTATTGATTTTTCTCTGTCAATAAAATTTTCGCCAAAAGACCTCCAGAAAATTCGACTTATGGAGGTTTTTCGTGCATTTTTTCGGAAGGGATTCAGAGAGGGACATTGAAAACAAATTCAAACGAAGAAAGAAAGGTCAATAGTTCCAATCTGACATGAGAAGTTGATACTATATAAAAAAGAAAGAAGTTTTAAATTTAGTTTACAACTTACTTTTAGTGGTGAGCCATTTTCCGAGGGTCGCACAGGTCGCACACCTGATTCATCTCCAACAAAGCGAGTCCAGCCGAATACAACGACACCTCGTCCAACTGCAACACGGACAAGGCAACCCAAAACAGGGCCCTGTGGATCGGCGAATCCCGTCTCAACAAGGGCTGGAGCCGAGTCAAACACATGACGATCGCCTCGATCAAAGTGATGTCCGAGAAGCTCTCGAGGGCCTTCAACAGGATCCGCAAAAGCTGCTTCACGTCCGTGTCCGACGCGGATTTGGAAATGCAGCCGAATACGATGAGGGCCCTGGGTTGCAGGGCCGGGTTGTAGCGCAGGGCAAAGCTGCGGGCCAGTGCTGTCCACTGCTGGAGCCAGTTGCTCTCCGGAATGTCCTTCATACAGCACTGTGGCAAGAAAAAAAAAGTTAATGAGACATTCCATTTTTACAAAAAAAGAGCAACAAAAACAACCAAGACAATTTGGACTCAAAGCTAAAATCACACAGCCAATAAAAATTTGCCCCATTAAACTCAAAACGTCGTTTTTCTTATTCTCTCTGACATTTCGCCTGGTTAATTCAAATTTTCGCAGAATTTATCACACAAAAACAAACATACTGTAATTCAATACAGCTTCTTCTAAATTAGACGAAGAAACCCAGAAAATGATTAGGGTGACATCTATTGAACAGCAAATAAATCTCAGGAGCCTAGACCCCTAGAACATGACGTATTCCAGTGAAACAAACCCACAAAAAAGACAAATACTGTGTCAACTAATGCGGGGCACAATACGCGAACACAATTGGTGCTTACAAACTGTCCCTATGTTGAAATGTACACATGTTGGATCATGTTTTCCCTCAGGCTTCAATGGGAACATACCCTATTTACTCAAGTACCACGCGCACCTTTTTTCTCAAAATTTCAAAAGAAAAAAAGGGGTGCGCGTCATAAGCGGGTACAAGTTTTTCAAGAAGTTTTAGGAAGTTATGTGTGCATTATACTTAATTATAATGGAGAATTTTGAACAAATGTAACAAGAAAAACTTTTTTGTGCTGAAAAAGTTGAAAATTGATCCAATTTTTGTTCAATTCATGTCTGAAGTCAATTTTTCTGAATTTATTTTTGAAATTTTGTGGTTTTAGATTCACAAAAATTGGGGTGCGCATCTTACTTGATTATAAGATTTTAGCCAAATTTCCAACTGAAAAACCCCTGTGCGTGCCTTACTCAAGGGCGCATGGTACTTGAGTACATACGGTACTTAATTGGTTCTCTTGTTGATCAAAAATGAGGAAAAAGTCCCCCAAAATGTTGAACAAAATTTGTTTCTCAAATTCAAGATACAGAAAATATCTGTGCGGAAGAAAACCACACAGAATCTAATCTTTTAGCATGAAAAGGAGCCCATAAAGCAAAGAAAAAGCAAACATCTTTCTAATCTGTACACAGATGATCGGAAAAATAAGATCAAAATTAGCCTGTTTTGGTTTTATGTCAAGAACTTGAGTGAATTATGTTGAAACTCATTTTCAATTCTTGTGAATATGAGCAGCTCAATTGGTTAAAAAGATATAAACATTTTGAAAAAATAAAATTATCCTATTTTTCTAGAAATGTAAAAATGTCCGTATCTTGAGACATTGTCCAGATATTCAGCCTTAATTTTTTTTTTTTTACTCTCACGTGTCCCCAAGTCGAATCGGCCGTATGTCGCGGCCCCATCGTACATTCACCCCGTAAAACTGCGAAACTTGCCTCCATGATTTCGAGTAAAGAGTCTGCGATGATTTCGAGCGATTGCAAGGAAATCTTTTCGCGGTCGGGAGCAGAGCCACCTAGTGACCGATCTGGCCCGAAACGTTCTCCGATCCCCGCGTTCCTGTAACTCGAACGGAATGCCATCACAGCTGGACTCTTCACTTTTGAGATCCCGAACAGACTGTAAAATTTGGCCAAGGAGTACTCGTCCAAACTCATCCTCAACACCCGCTTCCGCTCCTCTGAAAAAA